GCCTTTCCTGGTAGGTCGGAGCACATTGTTCACGTGTTGCCACATTCTGAGGTTATATTTGTAATTTTTGCTGCTTACATGACGGGATATACAATTGCAAGTTGATTAGGACCAGTCATAGTTCGTCAATACTGGCTTGTCCAGAAGAAAAATAGTACGCCACCACTTTGACCACCTCTCTCTCATCTTTAATTCCATGTCCTTTGACAGGGGTCACTGCAGTTCGTGATTCTTAATAGATGGATGCACATTGTCCGGTTGCTTAGAATGGACAACTATCTGGATTACCTGGCTACAGGTTATATCTCCAAGGATATTGCCCTCTGTGGAACAGGTGGAAGAGGCAGGAAGTGACAGGCAGAAACGCAGGGACCTTCACAAGATATTAACCAAGGCAAACAAGCACAAGAGGGTCCCTCCTCCCCCGCGTCCCCGCACACAAAGCAGACCATTTCCTCTGTTAGGCACCATGGCTCTGAATAGATGTAGACATGTAGTCCTTGATCTTTGGAAGTGAAGCATCATACAGCATTCTCGGGCATTCATGCACACTATCATTAACTGTATAGCCAATATTACTATAATGTTACCTGATCTTACATTGGTCGCTCTCAGGACATTGGAACACAAAGAGAAAGAGGAGGAGGATGTCATATTGGACCAGGTAGGGCACTGTCAAATGTCTGTTTCATCACCAGACACATACATGCATCCATTATTGATGTAGTCCAAGTTATTGATCATGGGAAAATGAATGTTCAAGAACATTGAATTTCACTGGTTAGTAAAGCAACATTTGTGAGTTACATTGAGTTATTTCATAGCATCCTCTAGTTATACCTTCTTCCACTAACCAAATAGCTTCTGGGGTATAATTTCATGACTTTACCATTCATACTGCTACTCATTCAGTTTCTTGTACCCTCTTTCTCTTTTCCTACTACTCTACCCTGTAAGGCTTAATGTCACTTCCTTCTGCCTTCATTTTCACTACCTTTGCAATTATCACATTTCACCTGTTGTTGGTAGGAACAGTGATGAACAAGACAGGTGGATTCAAGGTCTGAGATCACTATTTTCACCTTTCTCCCATCTCACCTTACTGTTAGTGGGAACAGTAATGATATATCTAGCCAAGAAATAGAGTGAGAAATAAAAGGTGAGAAGAGGAGGTTGCTCTATTTCATAGAAATGTCATCCACTGTTCCTACTAACAGAAGGTGAGATGTGAGAAAGATGAAGGTGGTATCCTGTGGAGTATAAAAAATAGTGACTCTGATGGTGGACAGCCATCACATTTCTCTAGAATTGATGATACTGGAATTCCTGCTGTATAACAATGATGTTATCAATTGGCTATTGGTAGTCAATCACAGACCACAAAGATTCACAGGAGGCCTACCTGAATATGTGATCCAGACTTCAGACATCTAGTGATTTGATTGAACCAGTTGTCAAATGTCCATTCCATCACCGGACACGTGCATCCATCTATTATTGATGTTGTCCAAGTCATCAATCATGATCTGGATGTGCAATCCAGGTTACTTGACAGTCTGAACGCCCCCTGACCGATACCAGGTGTGTGAGCCTGTAGGCACAACTCCCTACATCACATCTATTATTCTTGACTTACATATACTGGCAGTCACTATAGTTTTAACTTGTTCAATAAATAGACAAACTTATCTATGTGTCATAGCCAGTGGCTCATCTACTTACATAGGGTGCGAGGACAGAATTTTATGCCGGTTTCAGACATCTTTCTTGAAGTTTGAGTCACCCAGGTGTATAGAGAATCCAGTGACAAACATACAAGTATATCAAAGCAAAAACACAAGGCACATAAACATGATGGTCATTCTACCTCAACACTTCAAGAAGCGAAATTTGTTGTTCATATCGGTGATAATATTAGACTCATGCAGGGTGACATCACGGAAAATCATCCCAGAAGTGAAAATTAAAATACATGAGTGAGGGAGGGAGAAGCAAGAAAGAGAATTTTTTGGTTCAAGTTGACCGCATTTTTGCTTATATAATCATTGTCACATCAGGCCACAATAATAAAGCCACATCTTATCATAAGAAATATTCGATGAAACAGCACATTTTTGTGCATATGATCAGCGTCAATCAAACGAAAGCTATATATTGTAATTGGAAGATGCTTGTTGAAATTTTGCAAGTTGGCTTATTAGAAGCAAATAACCAACATTGATATGCTGCCTCCCTCTCTAAGATTGATTTTCCAGCCATCATATGACATGTATGACTGTATCTTGAACTTGTTCCTGAGGTTATTGAACCATCTAAATCGAGTGGGCATGCCCATTTCATGTGTAAAAATCATGTTTCAAATTTGAACACCCCTGTCATGCTGCCTTACCCTCTAAGATCGATTTTTTCAGCCTTCACATGACTTGCCTGGCTCAAGATAGGACTTGTTCTAGAAGTTATTGAGCCTCCTGAATCTGATAGCAGCATCTGTTTGGTGCGAAAAAATCATGTTCCAAAGTCATGAGTTATCAAGTCCTGTTGTGCTGAGGCCCTCACCCAAAGTCAATTTTGTCAGCCTTTGCATGACTTGCATAGCTTGATCTCAGGCTTATTTCTGAAGCCATAGACCAGTAGGAGCAACAATTTGATATGGCAAAGTCATGTTGTTGCAAAGTTGCCCACCTATGGTCAAGTTGACCGCTTTTGCTTATGTAAGCAATGTCACCCCTGTTATGCTGCCTCACCCAATGATTGATTTTTTGAGCTTTCATATGACTTGCTTGGCTTCAAATAGAACTTGTTTCTGGGGTTATTTGGCCGTCTGAATCTGATGGGAACACTGGTTTGGTCCGAAAAAATCATATTTCAGAGTGATGCTACCCCCTCCCCCTACCTACTACCTACTGTGCCCAGAGGCAGGATTCCATGTCGATACTGATGTATAAAAGGATGTTCCTAGTGTTTTTGTATCATATTAAGTGATTGGAGATGGTCTCAGAGTCATCTGGGCCCATGTGAATTGTGATGTGTCAGTTTGCCTGATGCCCCCCCCACAAAGATCGATTTTTCTAGGCTTCCCATGACTTGTCAGTCCTTCAGGAGCATCCTTCCTGGGGGTTATTGAACCCTCTGAACATGATGGTCAAGCCAGATTTGCCAGAAAAAATCATGTTCTTGAGATATGCAAGGTCCCCCTCCCCCTCCTATCTCATATATCTTCATATTATGTGAATACTGATATATCAAAGGATGTTCCTAGTGTTTTATGATCACAGGAATCGATTGGAGATGGTCCCAGATTATTTCTAGCCTGTTTGAATTGAAATATGTCAGTTTGCCTCATACCCCCCACAAAGATCGATTTTTACAGACTTCCCATGACTTGCTAGTGCTACAAAAGCATTTTTCCTGGGGGTTCTTGATCCATCTGAACACGATGGTCGAGCCAGATTTCCCAGAAAAAATCGCGTTCTTGAGATATACAAGGTCCTCCTCCCCCCTCCTACCTCCTATACTTTGCTGTGCTTGAATTTAACTTAAGACCGATACTGTAAAGGCCTGTCCTAGGGTTTTGTAGGTGTAGGAATCGATTGGTGATGATCCTGGACCACCTGGAGATCAATATTGGTGACATATGGTGGTGGGGCCAAAAAGTCAGTATTTTGGCCATATCTCCACAACCCAACCGCCGATTTCTTTAATTGTTGGCTCATATCATTCCTAGAAGTACCCTCCATGATATGTACCAGCCCATGAAAAGAACTTTTTTCACAAGTTTGAAACCTATTTCTGAAATGACCATATAAGTCACCAGTACCTCATTAGCTCATTGATCAAACAAAAGGCATGGCAACAATCGTGAACGTGAATGGAGATGTTGTAGATACGTGGGTAGATCAAATACAACTTGAAAAGTGGAGGTAGTTGACAGGGAACACAGGGCGAACTGCAATCGCAGTGTTTTCTCCACTTATGCACCATACTTTGACCTCTCCCACCGTCCACCCAACTATTGTGAAATATCGGGAAGGTGTATCATAGTGAATATATCAATGATTGGGGAGAGCCAGCATATCTCTTCTTTCATATGATCCGCACTATTAGGGGGATCACGAGAGTGACCATCAAATGAATCGTCAGACGTGCGTCATCTCAAGAGGTGTCCTCTCATGAGACTATATCATCGTCGTGCCTCGGAGCATGATAAGTGCTAGCATTTAGCAATGTTAGGAGGGATTGACCAAGGAGCTGCGAGCCCTGTGCAAATCGTAATGCAGATAGCAGCAGTATTTTTCCTTTTCCACTCGGCCATGTTCATCCTTAGTTTCTGATAAATGAGGGTTGAGCCTTGTTCGCTAAACGGAAGATGGCCTATTCTCAAGGGTCTCAATCATATGCTCCTCAAGTCACTCGCAGGTGGATTACAGAGAGGCATGTCTTGCAGGGAGCGCTGCAAAGGTAAAGGCAGCACAAATTGAGGTGATCAGCTACTGCGCCACCTGATTTTGCTTCTCGAGGGCATGTCAGATGTTAACTCTATGGCGGTGGCTGATGAGCTGTCATTATTAGGGTTGTCGATGGGTGACGACCAGGGTAGACAGAGGAAGGTTGTTGGGAGCAGAAGGAAGTTGATAGCCGGTACAATGTAGACCAGGAGAAATAGGGGTGGTTGTTGATGTAGATGATTGGTTCATTCAGTGTCAAATAACAATCACAGCTGTTTGCATAAATGATGACAGTACGCGACTTTTTGAGAAAGAAGAATAAATAAATAAATCTTACACAGCAGTAAATAACGCATCCCGCATGTATGTGAGTTACAATTGAGTCGAAAATGACAAACTCGATATCCTCTGATTCTATGGACTCTGACGACGATTCGATAACGGCGGCTGTCAGGGACCAGTATGACATCTCTCCAGGGGATGAAACAATTGTCGTGGAACCCACTTCCTAACTAGAATCACCAGAAAACGAAAAACGCGGCCCTGGTCGCCCTCCCAAGCCCAAGGAAGGTACAATTGTTCGAAGTTCATTGACCATTGATTCTTGAATACCTGAATGTGAGATTTTACTCAGTACCTCCACCACCACACAATGTCTCGATCTCGTACACTCTCATAGTGTATTCATACTCAGAAATGAAGAAACCAAGAAGGCTACAGGTGGGGCTAACAACGTTGCCTGTCTTGCGCCAAAGTTTAAGGACACGCCAGAAAGTACTTTCCGAGAATCCAAGTTGTCCAACACAAGCGAGAATGTCCTGAAGAGAAAAGGTGTTGACGCTCGTAGAGATTGACGGCAGCGAGTTTGACGTCGCGACTGATTTTTTGATACATCGATGTTGATTGCGGTTGATTGTTGCGGCGCAAGACGAAGTGCCACACTAGAATATTTAATTTTTCTTCTTTCCCAAAAAGTCGTGTACTGTCATCATTTATGCAAACAGCTGTAAATGGTCTTGGGCTTGAGCGTGAGCATACAACAATAAATCTTTAAAACTGGATGGCTTGTGTTAAAGCACATTTTTGGGGTTGTTTGAATTCATGACGTTGGTTGGTTGGGGTGACACACTAGAGTACACCAATCCATATAAATGTTGACGGAGGCATTGTCTTTTGTTGTATGACCAGGTCAAAGTACTAAAGGCACAAAGAAGATAGGGTGGCAGGAAGGTGGGAGAACCTTGCACTGTGAGTGTCGCAAATGGAGGGCTCAATTCATGCACTTCTTTCCTGTACTCAAATACCATGTTAGTGGGGCAGAGGCAAAAGTTCGTCCATTCCTCACCCGCACTAAGGAGCTGGTCCTTTCTTTTGCTGATGAATTGAATTGGCGGCTCATGGGACTCGTGCCACCTGTCTGGCAATTCTGCATTTTCATCGTGTGTGATGTGGATCTCCTCCGCTCTGTCTCTGAGCCTCTTGAGGGCTGCATCCATCTCTTTCTTGAACATCTCTGAGAGGTCAAGTCCCTTGGACATCCATGCATCATCTGCCTGGCCAAGCATCATTGAGATGTCATTCACATTTACGCCCCAGCCCGTTTCTGAGGCCATCGCGAGTTAGCGCAGATGCACACGTCCGCATCGGGTACGCCTACCGAACATCTTCTTGTTCCCTTGGTGCAACGGATCGGCCGCTAAATACATGTCCGCATCGTCAGGCAACTCATCGAACTCCACGAATAGCCAATCTCGGTGATCGCGAATGAGGAACTCGTCGAGTGATTTAATCCGCTCATCATTCACGCCGTTCGCGATGCACTCCTCCAACACAATTCTTCTGGCCACCATAGCTTGAAGGAAACGTGCACCAGCATTCTTGCGAGACGTGTCAATCAGATCCGCCCTCTCTTGTTGCGTCTTTGTATTCTTCTGCTTTTGTTTATTCTTCTTTGACTCACCATCCCAACATTTCCACACCGCCAACCAGTACTCTACACAGTAGCAAAGATACACCCAGGACGACCGATATCTGGTGGGAAGGGGCACATAGCCGATAATCCACCGGTCCTTCATAGCAGGAACCCGCAAAAACTCGAGCTGAGCGGTATCCCCTGCACCGTAGCTTATCAGTTCCGGAACGCCGTAATGAATCCTCTGAGGTGCACGTGCATCCCATTGGCCCATAGAGAGTTCGGCCTTGCTGACAGGGATGCGGAAATCACGGATGGGTTGAGGAAGTGCCCCACTGATGGTAGAAGGGCATTTTTCTGCAGATTTTGCTGCGGTCATCGCACGACGCTGTTTGCGAACGGGTTTGAAGTGAGGTTGAGGCACAGTGCTCCTGTGTCGCTGGCGGCTTTTTTTCTTGATGCGAGGCATTCAGTGAGTGTCAGCACGAGAGGTGTAAGTGTGATTGTGAATCACAATGATAACATAGCGACATTTCTGAACTCCGCCGCCAATGACCGATCCCAAACTGATGGTACTAACCCCTATGCTCTATTCGTGATGGTACATTATTTCGTGAGTCACACTCATGTCACGAATAGTAACGGACAGTCACACCGGCTGAATTTACAGTCCGCTCGGCAGACGTTAGATTCATGGTTCGTGATTTGTGAACTTTAACAACAATTGATTAGGACGGCATTAGTAAGTCCGTTAGCTACAGCATGTATGCAGAATTATGTACAACTAAATGCAATTCATTAACGCTGTGTAAAATATTGCTGAGGGAATGTAGTATGTGGATGTGGGTATTGATACATAGGTGGATTGTGACTTGGATGTGGGGGTTGAGTGAAATAATATGGTGGATGAGGAGCGGGAATACTGAAACCAGTGTGAGAAGAGGGATGTATGAAGGCTGGGAGCACATACATACGTCCTAGTATTTATGTATTTGTCAATGTCGACTCCCGGAGACACTGGAAATCAACCATTAGTGTTTTATCATCTCATCAATCTGTAGCGTGGGGGAACACTGTGACTCTGTAAAGTCCATGGAAAGTCGAGATTCTGACGCGACACAAGAACTTATCTTTGGTTTATAGATCATCGCATGCCTCACCTGCATTATCAGTGGAGATCAGGGTGTCCTGGATCATGAAGATGAACCATTCACTGAGTAACTTACTTCACACATACTAACATTTCATAGATGAAGGCCACACACGACTTGCGGAATACATGACGAGCAAGACGGTCTCTCACCTGAACGATACTGTGCAGCTAGGGCTGTTCACCATACCGTATATGGCGTACAGCCGTACCGTATACAGTGTGCCACCGTATGAAATCAAAAAATGACAGTCCATTACGGTTGCAAAAAACATGCTGACGGTACGGTACGTGGTACTTTACAGCGGTATACAGTAGCATACGGTACATACAGTACATATGCTCCCATGTACCAAGATTATCGCCGTCCACATTGCACCAAAACGCTGAGAACCGGCATACCAGACTCACCAGCTGTCTTTGTCCTTGCTAGACAACCCTTGTTGATCGTCTGCTGTAGCTGAGCCTCTGAGCAGCGACTATGTCAACCCCAACCAGTGAAACAACAGCAACTACGGCCCGCCGGTGTCAGGATACAACTATCGACGTCACTCTCGTACGTACTCTTCCTTTTCTTTTACATGTGCAATCACCCTTCGTTAGATGTGTTAGACACGTTCTATGAATGGCGGGAAGTGCATGGATCAATTTGAATGACTCACGTGTGTGCGCTTTGGATTTCAACTGCTCTGCTGCCCACTTGTTTCCCCAAGTCCAGATACGTCCAGATCCCACTCTTGTGGTGGGAGCAAGTAACGAGGAGACGGGTACCACAAATGAAAACTGCCTCGTTCAGTTCACCAAGGCATTTCCTCTTGAGTTGGCGCTTGGGACTCGGACGCTACTTTGTAAGTGCCAGTGATGGCCGCCATTGAATCTTTTTCGGTGTCTCGGTCAGCACTGGCAGGAGCGTCGACGAGGGAGTGGTCACTTACGTGCACCAAGGAGTCTAAGGTGAGTGGGCACTAATTTGTGTCTCCTACAGGATACTAAACCCACATGTCGGCCTTGCTGTAGATACGTGGTGTCCCGCATGCAAGCTAGTGTTTCAGGAGTAGCGCGGTGGTCGCTTGTAATGTGCTTCGCCCTGTTGCGGCTGATTCTATTTCTCGTCTCATCGATATCTTTCCGCATTGATCTTGTCCTGATAGGCGACCACATGAATGCAACGAATCATTGACTCGATGACTGCGGTGATATCGTAATTCAGCTTGAGGCAACTACCCCCTGGGTACATTCGATTACACGACTTCTCCTGACCACTGGAATAGGTCGATTTGGCAACCATACAGACGCGCAGCTCTACACGTGGGCTGGCCAATATACACACGAGATCATACATACAGGCTGTCATCAATACGGTCTGTACCACCTATCCGAGTCATCGAGCGACGACAGAACAATACTGTCACATGCATTCTCATTGAAGACCACCGCTAACATCAGATTCTTCCCATGCTTGCGCACTCTACGGCTGCGCGAGCTGGTACATATTGGGCTGAATCGCGGTTCATGGTACTATGGTTAGTGTCGTTCTTACCTGCACAACCGGCCACATCATCAGGCAGACCTTACCAATTTGGCATGTTTAGCTTGAATTCATCAACTTATCTTAACCAATCTTAGTCAAGTGGTTAACAGGTTTGATATCTGTTGGTGCAGGTTCGAAACCTGCTGACAATAGTGCTGACAATCTTGATTGCACCTTGGGCATGAGCTCATGGAGAGATCATCGAACGTCAACGGTAAGGGTCATGGCCAAGTCGTTAACAGATTTGAAATCTGTTCCTCCCGGATTGTGCAGGTTCGAAACCTGCTGACAACAGTTTTTTTCTATGATCGCACCTTGGGCATGAGCTCACGGAGAGGTCTTCGAACGTCAACCATAAGACTTATGGCCAAGTTGATAACTGATTCGAAGTCTGTTACTCCTGGATGGTGCAGGTTCGAACTTGACCTGCCGACAATGTTTTTTCTCTATGATCTGAATCCTGCGTATCATACTTGGTACACTGTCAATCGTTTATTGGGAGCAACATCGAATTGCACGCGTCGTCAAATACTCAGTACATGTGGTGATATGTACTCTAACGTAAAAGTTCGGAGAGGACAGAAAACCTAGCGGGAGCTGGAAGCAGTCAAACTTGTTTGTCCAGTGCGTGCAAGACGCGGGAACCACATTGTGAGAACTGCAATGTAGCCGATGTCTGGAACATGTTCAACGTCCAACAGGGAAGGAGATCCGTTACTAGTAGCTGCACCGATACTTCCAGTCTGCAACGTTACTGGGGTGGCTCCGCCGATAAAATTGTTTGTCCCTGCTGGTGGCGTGCTGCTACTCGAGGAGCTAGCATTGGCTTATTGGCAAGGAGGACATGGTGGCTGCACCAACTTATGCCCTTTGCCACTGTGGGCATTAGCGGTGTGCTACGAGACAATATCAGCATCATGAGATGGATATCGAAAAATACATATTTGCCCCGAGTTGCAAAGACATCCACAAGAGGAATCCTACATGGGCGAGGAGGATGGCCTTTGGGAGCAGAGGAGCCAGAAAAGGGGTGGTTCATCACGTTCTTCATTCCGGATCCCTCGGCGCAGCTGTTGTGTCCAGGTGGAGAATGTGGATCGAACTGTCAAAGGATGGTGAGTTGCGTGCCGCCACTACTGTACCAATATTGCAATTCTCGCGGAGAAACTCCTGATCATTGCCTTCGAAGTTTGGCATATTGATAATGTGGTACACACCGCAGAGCAGTTGAAATGTAGCTCAGATCCTAGTATGACAGTGTACACAACCGACAATAGCGAGGTTCGAAGAAGTGCACATCCGTGAGTCACATTTAAATTCATCCATGTCCTGCGAGTAGAGGC